TTTAAAACGTACATACAGAAGAAAAACAAGGAAACTTAGCATGCAGCTCCTAGTGATGGAGTCGGAAACCTTTGTGTGCAAGCCATTTTTATATACTAGCATCTGATAAACCTGCTAAGAAAATATTTGGGAGCCAAATGTTGTTACAGAATAGTTGGGTTTTTTTTTAATGGGGAAAAAAGAGTCATTTCGATGCCTACGAAAATCCGCATCGCTGCCGACCTCTGCCCTAATGTCAAATATCATAACCTTTAAATTTTCTCAAACTATAGCACACTCATTCGTCAACTACCAAAGCCCCTGATCAGTTCCCCAATGGTGGCATTCAGCCGGCTATTTATGCACTCGGAATTTCAGGAACATTATTGGTACCTTCTTCCCATGAACCCCCCCCCCTTTTCGGGCCACACCCCCGTACGCATTAATGAGCAAAATCTCCAAAATCGACCCCCCCCCCCCGAGAGCCGTCGCGTGAATTTTGGAGGCCCTGCCATTTTTTAAGACTTTCTTTCTACTTGCTTTTCCATCTTGTGAATATGAGGATGGGTGGAGCAGACTTATGTTTTCCTTTACACAGTGACATTTTCGCTGAGGACGTGACATTTTTGCTCAGTTGCACATTTTTCGTCAAGTGTTCACCTCAAAGGTGTTGATGTCTTGTTACAGCTGAGTTGTATTCATTGATCCATTACAAATGCGGATATATTTTTTTTTACTGTTTGCTTGACTTAAATTTCAGTGAGTTGAGTGAGGCAGTGACTTCACTGAAATTATTCACAAGAACTTGAGAGAACGTTGCAAAGATCGCAGATCAGAGTTCTTCTGTCCACAAAACAGGTAAATATTGGATAATGTCCAGTCGTTGTTACCTCTTCAGGGCACAATATTTGAAAACGGAACTGCAGACATATAATGAGTGAATTTATTTTTTAAAAAATGGCGACTAAACGAAATCTTTATCACCCCGCTCCTAAGAGTAATGTTGGCCAAAAGAAATTAAGAAAGCCCCTGATACAAGGAAGACTTGTTACTGATAGTACACCTGTTGCAAGCAATGTAGGGCATCATCTTATTCAAGGCCAGTTGTTAGGTAAGCTGAGTTTATAGTGTAGGTTTCGGTAAACAAAAATTAAAATTCCAAAAAATTATTATTAATAGCGGATAGTAGCCTAGTTGATTGAGTAGTTGTATTCGGCAAACTTTAAAATTGCAAATTCGTTAGTGATTTTTTAAATTTTGGTCAGCATATGCAATCCGCACTTAGCAATACTTTAAATTACTTAGACAAAAGAATCTGCCATTTTTTTTCTTTCCGTGATGGGGTGTTGATTTTTTCATGTGGAGAGCGATAACATTCTTTGGAACGGGTTAAATTGACTGTTTTAAAGTAATCCAAATTAGATGATAAACATTAGCTTTTGGGTTTTAATTTTAATCATGTATGAATGCTCCAAAGAAGTTTTTAAGACACTTTCAACTTACGGATAGTCAAAAAGTGACACAGAAAAAAAACGGGGGTTCCCCTCGTTAGGTAAATTGTATGAGCGTCACCGTAAGACAAATATTTAAAGTAATCGATAACAAAACAATTGTAGGTACTTTGAAAAGAAAATTAAAACTTTGTGTAAAATTAAACTAATGGCATAGTTGAATAGAGCTAATTTTTAACAGAATTATAGCACCAAAATCATATTTTTAGCTATTGTAGTTTTAAAGTTATGAATTTTTAAAGTACGACTTAGTTTGTCATTTTTTAACATGACATGGACTGCACCTCCACAGTCTGTGACCCCATTCCGCTGTTCGTGTCACGAGCTATATAACCCTCGATTTTTAATGATAATTTTATGCGACTTCTATTTTCAGAACTAATTCTGTATTAACAAATAATTTTAATAATGTTATACAATTATATATAAATTATAGTTTATCTAAGTATGCACTATGTATAACAATAAATTTATAATAACATATGGCTTTTCTGTTATCAAATCTACAGCGTCCATTATACCGGTATATGCTATATAGTTTATATAAGGCAACGCACCCCCTAAAATATTGTATGGGATCTACTTATTTTGAACTTTCAACTTTGGCACATGACTAATTTACTAAAGCTTTCCCTGACCAATAGTGTTAATAGTTTTTGCACATGGCAAACTCTTATGAATGAAACTTGAGGTAGTACTGCGGCATAGGCATAGCATTATGCAAATGGCTGTGAATGGTTTCCCATGACTTTTTGCACACAGTCAATTCTGATCATTAATAATATGGACTCTACTGAGTTTTTAAAGCTCAAATTTAAACATTCTAGTTTAAATGTCTTCAAAATGCATTCTGAAACACAAGTTATCAAATATTTTGATGTATATATAGGTATTAATGAATATTTCCTAAGCTAAGTATCGGCATTTTCCGCCATTTAAAAGGGGGCGGGATCACTAATCCATTATGGCCTGTGCAACCTTAGCATAATGAGGTCAACTTTGAGAATTGTGAAAATGTTTCATGAGCTATCCCAATGAAATTTTGCACACGTGTCCTTCAACAAATTATGCAGGCCTACTTTTAATATGAAAGACCTACTTTGAATATTTAGACCGAATTTTTTAATGCGAAAATGTCTTATTTTGACATACGATTTCCCTCACTTAAAGTTGAAATAAAGAACAAATTAACTCAATGGGAATGTAGTTCAACATTTCTCCTATCGTTAATGGGCGGAGTCAAACCTTAATTATGGGCCAAAAGGACTCCTAATTTATTCAAATTACATGCACATGAAAAAATTAAAAACTCAGATTCTATTGCACCGACGCCCATTTCCGATACAAACTGTCTAGGAGTGTCCCTTGCTTCGGCTGAGTATCTAACAAATGTATATTAGAAAACTGATGTAGAATGCAAAAAATCCGAGTACACCACAGAGCCGATTGTGAAATGGCTACTAAAGTTTTAGTGATTTTTCGACTGCGCAGAAGGGATGCGCGTGCGTCTTTTAAAATACCTAATTTAAGTAAACTTTTACGTACTTATAGAGTTTCTGTGTAGGATTCTCTTCTACTAAAACACAAAACGTTAGTTAGGCCTAGGCCTAATTTAGTCTTGTGGAAAAGCTGAAAGTTCAATAAAAATATTCCATCTGTGTGCAAAACAGTTTATTTATTAGTAATGTGCAAAAGTTGAAAGTTCAATAATAATATTGGCAGCGTCTACACATCCGGCGACCTGAAAATAATGATCGAGATATTCTTCCGACGGGCAAGTCACGTGACGGCAGGACAACTGTTATGTGTTATCCCGGCTGATGTGTCATGTGACAAGAGGTCGCCAGCAAAATAAAAATAAAAAAGTCTTACCTTGGTTTAAATATCTTATAAAGCTCTACCTAGTAGCCTAAATTTAAAATATGAACCAAAGAAAATAAGACCAATACTTACCAGTTGACTGTCAATAGGTCTACTGTCAAAAAGTTTTATTTTAGGCTATTACTATTGCGTGAGAAGTAGGCTACCCCAACAGCACACTACATTGGCCCTATGTTAAGATATAGAGTCTTTTTCTTTGAACTTTCCACCTCCCCGCCTTAATTATCACCCTCACTATCATTAACCGTTTTCTCTCGGTATTACTTCCTTCTATTATTTCTTGAAAGGAAGTGTAACCCCCCTCTCCCCCCCCCCCCCCCCCCCCCATCTCCGACGCCAGTTTTATAATCGACTATTAGCGGTCACGTGACAAGGCTGACAGATATGTCGCCCAACTTTGTTAGTGGTCATGTGACTTGGTCGCCGGATGAATATCTCGAGAATTATTCATCCGGTCTTCAGACATGTAGACACTTCGAACAATATTCCGTAACAGTATACTAATGGGAGATTTCTTTGCATTCTTTTTGTCACAACTTGTCTTGAAGTAGACTGTCTCCAGTTTGATTTTTTTTTTCACGTGGCATTGATGAAATTTGCAGCACTGCAGAGATAATTAAAAATAAATGTTTCACCCAATTCGGCTCGAGAATTAGCATATGATTAATTGGAGGCAGAGGGTACGCGTAACCACGTCCTCTAAAATAGATTCTTGCTGGCTCATTCAACTCACTCAGAGTACATGGAGACCATATAGGCGAATGACTGTTATTATTTTTAGAATGCTTATGGTGTTACCACAAAAATATGGTCCTTTCTTTTTGCCACCCCAATTTTTTATTTTTAATTACCGGTAATTAAAAAAAAAAAAACTTCTGAAACCTCAGGTTTTTTTTTAGGCTTTTCGTAGTCTTGGGCGTAAAACCGTAGCTACTGTGGCTTAAGTGTAGGGGCAAACAGGTCTGATATAGTGGTGATAATTGAATATTTCCTTAGCTATTGTGCAGATGCCCATTCCCAAATCACATTAATAAGTAGTCTCTCTTGTGTTACCCAAGTTTTAGCATATGGGTACTTTGATTTTAAACCAATCAAAAGACACTCTTAGTGCACATATTTTCTTTTTTTTCCCACAGGTCCCATTATTTTGCTGATGCTTATAATAATAATAATATTCAAATTTTTAAACAGAAGCATTCATTTACAAGTATCAGGATGCAAGAAATAATTTTAATAAATTAAATTAAAATGTAATAAAGTAAAAGCAGTATGTAGAAATAAAAGTGAGAATAGTGTCATAAACTGAGGTGGTGCAGTCCATATTACCAGTATTGTTATAAGGACAATAAAATGGGACACAAAAAAAGTTTTAAAAAAATTCACAGAAACTTCTAATGCTGGTTGATGTATGCAGCCATAGCTGCTTATGCTATGTTTATCCTGATTTAGGCTTAAGCCTGTGTGTGGATAGCTTGTGGGGTATTGAGGCATGAACAGGGGTATGAAATGATATTTAAATCCTCAGCATAATGGCATTGGATTCCTATTTCCAAGGATGGCATGGGCATGAAAAAGTATTTCAGGTATTTAAGTTTATTTCTCATTTTTTAATGTTTTTTAGAACATCGTTCCCATGTAAAAATAAAATACTTTATATTATTTTCAGAGGAAACCATGGATCCAACAATCAGTCCTATGAAATTCATTCCTAAGTTGACAGAGAATATGTCTCCACATGCAGAGCCACGTTCCAGAATCCTGGATCTGTCTGATGCTGAGGTTGATGGCAGTGAATCTTCTGACACAGATAATCCACAACCTGTTCTTGTCTTTGATGCATCCCACTTGGGCACATCTCCACATACAGCCGAAGTAGAAGTTCTTGTTGGCTATGAAAATTCTCCCGCTAAAGTTTTCTGCCACACACCCAGCAAGCTTGAGAGATCACTCAGGGCTGAGTTAAACAGAAGCCCTCGGTCACCCCGAGCCAACAAGGATGATAAACGTCATACTATTAAAGTTAACCAGGTGACCAAGCTGTCAACTGACCCAGAATCTAGGAAAGGCTCGGTGCAAAGTCCACGTCTGCATAATGAAAAAGAAAACATTAATCGCAAAAGAAAGGAATCAGGACAGGGAGATTTAAAAGAAAATATGTCGGGAATCTCTCTTCCAAGCCGTGGAATCATTGAAGAAATTCTAGCTCATGAGTTAGGACATGGCAGAGTTGATGCTATCTCACTAAGCAGTGAGGTGGGGAGCCCTGTAAATATGAGTGCAGTGAGCTCCCATCATGTACAGTCGCTTTCAGAAATGTCCCTTTCCAAATCAATGTCCCCGACGAGGAAATCAAAAGCCAAGAATGTCAACTTTAAGGATAAACTGCCTCAACCGAAATTTGATGATTCAGATACCTCATCGGAAAAGATACCAGTACAGGATATAACTCCAAAGCAGCCATCAGGAAATCGGCAAGATAATTTGAAATTTGAATCTTACTCCATGGAGGATGAGCATGTGAATAAAGGAACACCAAAAACTCTCAAGAGTAAGGAAAGTGGTAAAGATTTATCAAGCGATGGACAAACAAAACGGAGAGTTAAGTCCACTAGAATCGTGCCATCTCGGTACATGCACACCCCTCTGAATAAAACTGGCAATGTCACCTTAATGTCATCGGGAAGCTCTAGTTCAAATTTGTCCCAAACAATGCTTAAACCTGCAGCTACCTTAGCGAAAGGAAAATTGATTGGATCAAAACCTGACCTCCGGATGTCTAAGTCTGACAAAGGAAAGAACGTTGCATCCAAGAATGCTAAAAGCTCTTCCGGTTCCATGGTCCCCTCAGGTCTGACCTCTCTTCAGCCGCAGATCTCTTCACTAAAGTCAGACTTTCCAAGATGTGAAAGCCCTGATACACAAATACAGATGCTGGAAGAACATTTGACCCGTAAAACCTCCACCCCAACACATGATAAGTCTGTCTTTCCTCACGACATCGATGCCTCTGCCATCCAGTCCGTCTCCACCATGTCCATCAACATGAGCACCGTTGGGGGTGATGGGAGTCATTCTGACAACCGAGCAGAGTTTGATTCTGGTAAAAAACCTGCCGCTAAGTCGAGTTCATCATCGAGAGTGAATGTGGCGAACACTGCCAGCACACCTTTAGCAAAGTCTCTTGAACTTGACATGGCCTACACCAAGTACCTGCAGTGGGTATTTTTAAATGGCAAGGCTAAGCAATTTTATGAGGACGAAGAAGCCTTGGCCACTGCCCAAATACATGGTCTTTGGAAGCTGTTGGAATCCAAGAGGGAAGAAGGTGCAGCTCTGGACCTGGATGTAGATATGCTTAAAAAGTACAATCGACTTGATGAAGTTCTAGAGAAAACTGAAAGTGAACTCGAATCTCTGACAGCTGTACTGCCTCAACTGGAGGAAGATTACTCACACCTCAGTGCCGCGTTGGATACAACTAGACACCAGATCCCGGTCGAGGACATTTTCCTACCTCAGGATGGTGTGGAGCGTGACATCTATGAGGAAAAGCTTGAAAATGCCTTGAAGGAATCTGAACAGCTTCTGGCGGAGATCAGCACAATCACTGGGGTCAAGTTGGAGCCGTTACAGCACTACCAGAACTACATGGAGGCCATTGATGCCAATCTCTCTAGTACGAACGATGAAATTGGAGCTTGCGAGGTAGATTTGGATGTGGTCCAAGGATTGACCACCAGGTTGACTTCTTTAATAGTTCAAGATATGCAGAGCAAGTAATGATAAAAGATTTGTATTCAACCTGTAAACTTTTGGTTTTTAGTTTGGTCGTACTCCATATTTCACATACATATATATAATATATATATGTATTATGTTTATATGGATTAGGGTTGTGACAAATGTTTTATTTGTATATGCATTTTGTTAAGGTGTTCTTATTCTTCAAATAAGTAAACACAGCTGAGCAGTTACTACTAGTTAATCTTCAGAATTTTGCACAATCCAGAGGAATCTTGATTTTTTTTTGTGTGTAGATTAATAATTATTGGTTATGCCCTAATCTATAGGTAGATATTATTTTATACTTATAAACTGTTTTGTTTCCACAACAAATTTATAAAGCTAAAAGTCTTGAATGATAATTGTTCATGAAACGGTTGTCTGTTGATTTTATTAGCTTTATATGTGTTAGCTTTTCAAAATGTTAATTATTTTGCTTAAAAATTTGGTGTAGATTATTGGCACCAACATTGGTGGTTAAAATTATAAGATGTACAACCACTTGCATCTCTAACACATGTCAGTTGGCATTTCATTGCATATCATAAAAGCTGTCTCAACTTATAATGTCGTCCTGCTACGTTTTTTTCTCAGGTTACAAAATGTACCTCACTTTTGACTAGAAATGCAACAGTTGAATTTTCTGTTTTTATTTATTGATGAAACTGATGTTAAAATTATGAAGTTATTTACCCCCTTTACTTACTTTGTCAGTCGTTTCAAATGTAGTTCACCGTTATGTAATTTTTAAAAAAAATTATGCACTTAACAATGTTTATGATCAAGATCAAAATATCTTATGATAAAAGTTTGTCAAAAGTATTTGCTTCTGAAAGTTTATTCCATTCACTAATTTATGTAATATTTATTTCTGTAGACTGTAGGTTTGTAGAATTTATAGCAATTTAAAAACAGGGAAAGAGGGTGTGGAAGAGAGAGGGGGGAGAGGGGAGGGAGGGAGGGGAGATAGTGTGAGAGGGAGAGAGTGTGTGAGAGATTGTATCATGTGCATTTTATCACTTCTGCCCATTTAAACTCAGGGTTTCTATGTCCTCAACCCAATAATTACCACCAATGTTGTTATCCAAAGTAAATGGTGTTAAAAATGTCCTCTCCCTCTTTGTTTCTGGTCCCAACCAAAGCTTTCACTCTGCTACAAAGATGTCTTTCCTTGCTCTGGCATCCTTGCCTGTTTCTACTCTAGTAAATGATAAATGGTCACCATTTAAAAAAAAAAAAAAATCTCGTTACTGCAAAATTATGTGAAGACAGTTTTCATCGTGAATTTCTTGTACCTTCATTTGACACGCTGATACCATAGTTGACATCCAGTCAAGCGCTGCTGCTACACTTGGTGGTAACATAAAATCGAACACTGCTGCTGCTTGTCTTGTCATCAGGATTGTTGGCTTGATGCTGGATATGTTCACTAAAGCCTATCGAGCCTTTGGGGATGAAGCATGATGTTCAAATAAGTATTATTATTAACTGTGTCAAGTCAACCTTTTCAGATAGACTGCTAATTTATTTTTTTAAACCTAAAAACGTGCTTGCAGTTCATCACTTAATTATATGACTTATTAATATGTGCATTCAGAGACCATTGGCCAACAGGATGGCCACTGACATCATTTCTTTCTCCTTGCCAACAACTGGTGGTGGTCTTTTATTATTAAGTAAAGTTTTTCTCCAGAGTAACTTACATGTGTATGTTGAGGTTTTTTTTGTCCCCCAGAGCTCTGATTTTTATATGGATTGATATGTATATCCACTTAAAAATGTAAGAATCATTGTAATGCAGTGGTACCATGTATAGACCATATGTATATTTGTGGAATGTTGTGTGTTTGTGAAATGTGAGTTTGTGTAATGTTGTTTGTGGAATGGTGTTTGTTGAATGTTCTGTGTTTGGGGTATGCTGTTTTTGTTTGTGGAATGTTCTGTGTTTGTGGAATGGTGTTTGGGGTATGCTGTTTTTGTTTGTGGAATGTTGTGTGTTTGTGCTATGCTGTTTTTATTTTTGGAGTGTTGTGTGTGTTTGTGGAATGTTGTGGAATGTGGTGTGTTTGTGGAATGTTGTGGAATGTGGTGTGTTTGTGGAATGTTGTGGAATGTGGTGTGTGTTTGTGGAATGTTGTGTGTGTTTGTGGAATGTTGTGTTTGTGGAATGCTGTCTGTTTTTTAAAATGTTGTCTGTTTTTGGAATGTTGTGTGTTTGTGGAATGTTGTGTCCTCAGTCCATCCTTGGAATTGAGTGTGTTTCAAACAAATATCTTTAATCACTGTGATAACTTGTTCATGCATTTATCTTTGACTTTGCTTATGTTTATTTATATTGTTCACCTTTGAATCTGTTTTATTAAATCTTTTATATTAACTTCGCTTTTGTTCGTGTTTCTTTCTGGCTAATTGACCTACTTCCTGTCAACCCATTGAGCTGAAACTTTGCACATAGACTCATTGCCGATGACAGCACACTCTTAACAAATTTTCAGCCCCAACCCCCTAAATTTTTTTTTCCCCTGTTTTTCAAACGGAAGATGAAAGAAATAGGATGCCAGTCATTTCACAAAATAAAATTCCAGATACATGCACTAAATGAGACACTTTTAAAAAAAAAAATTGGCAGGTGCATAATTTCTCTTGTTTTTCTGAAATAGGTGGAGGTATAAATCTGCCGTGTAATAAGTGGGTGGCACATTAAAATGTTTAAAATTAAAAATAAATGCATCTTGAGGATTTATATGAAAAAATTAGTTTTTAGAGGTTGTTTTAAGTTTAGAAGTGTTTACAAAAACTGAGATAGCTACCATCATGGGCTTATTCCTGTAGGCGTCAATTCGTCAAACTCCACATGGACATTCACTTGAGGCAAATATTCTACTTCATTTTTTTTAAAATTCTTTTAGGGTGAGCTGTTGCAGAAACGTCCACAAATCTGTTTAGTCAAAGAGCCCCAAGGTTTGCTTCATATCTTAATTAAAGGGAATTTTTTTTTTTAGTTATGCTTCACAGTTCAAATTTTTAAATCATAAATATATATTAAAAAAAAATTGTTTTCTAATCTTGTGTGGTACTGTAAGTCAAGCCATCAAATGGGTTGAATAAATGAGTCCATTTACATAATGAAGCCAGGATCTAATGACCAATAGTGGTACATAGATTTCATCATGTTCTTTGAATGGAAGCAGCCATTCAAAGATATTCATTTTCTAAGTTTTGACTATAAACTGTTTTAAAATTGCTTTTGGTTGTTTTTTTTTTTTTTGCTGCATGTTACAACACATGATTGTTATGGTATGCTGAATGTCATTCCAGTTGTCAGCGTATGTGCAGAATGCTAACGGTATCCGCAAACCCATAGTCATAGACTGGATTGTCATTTTAAAAAAAAGATTAACCTGATGTATTGTTGAATAACTAATTGATTGAGTTATTGTCTGTCCGGCACTATGTTTTCTTGACATGCAAATGTGTACAACAGTACAAGTAAAACAGTACAAGTACAACAGCAGATGTCATGAAAAGTTTGTTGTTTTTCAAATTTCATTACAGTCTGACTTCAATATGTTGGGTTTTCTTCCAAATTTGATTAATTGGTTACATTCTGACTTTCTCAATAGGTTGGGTTTTCTCTAAGCTAATTAATTGGTTACATTCTGACTTTCTCAATAGGTTGGGTTTTCTCTAAGCTAATTAATTGGTTACATTCTGACTTTCTCAATAGGTTGGGCTTTCTCTAAGCTAATTAATTGGTTACATTCTGACTTTCTCAATAGGTTGGGTTTTCTCAAAGCTAATTAATTGGTTACATTCTGACTTCATCAGTAGGTTGTAGTAACAGTAGCAATTGATGAATCAAAGGAAAATCTTCGTTTTCACAGAATACACCAAAAAAAAAAAAAAAGTTGCATGCAAGATTATAACAAGGTATACTTTTTAGTCATGCATTATGGTCGTTTATACTTTATTAATGCTTCTCTTGCAAGTTCATAGTTTTATTTTACTTGTGTGTTCTTAGTCTTAACATTATTTTCAAGCCTTAAATCTTATTACAAATTACACAGTTGTGCAAACTCTTGCTAAGTAGCTAAGGCAGGGTTTCCCAACCTGGGCTGCTCGCACTCTGTGGGTACACCTAACGAGGTGTATGGGTAGAAGGTGTGTGTGGAGCACAAGGTGTGTGTGGGGTACAGGTACAAGGTGTGTATCACATCAATACAGCCCCGTATAAAACTAACAACAACAAACGGACATGGTTCACATGTCTGGAAACTAATACGAAATAATAAATCAAATCTACACGAGGATCAAATCTTTTGATGTTCTACTAAAATGTCCGACAGTTGCAATACAAACTTAAATTGAGGTCTGAGGTGGTGCATGCGCGTATCTATGATCTAGGATTGATTAAAAAAAATTACCTCCACCCAAGGGGTCGTTCGTAAATTACGTCATGCTAAAAATTCGCTAAAAATTAAATTTTTAGACCCCCCCTCTCACAAAGTGTCACAAATTCTCGACCCCCCCCCCACCCAAGCGTGACGTAATTTGCGGACGACTCCTAAGACATCTTTTTTTCCCACTGGTATCAGAACCTTGTCGTCGTTAGTATTAGAAGATAGTATTAGTTGTGTTAGTCTTCGTCACCTTTTGATTATGTCAAATGTGAACTCAACTATTGACATTTAGGACTCCATCAATAGTTGATGGTTTATTTAAAGCCATTTCATCCCTCTGTAAAAAGGCTCCACAACAGAGGCCTACATTATGATATAAGTTATAAGCTTATTTTGTATTAAAAATGCCTTCGATGTTGGGCAGTGTTCGCCAATCCATATGGGAATACGTCTTCAAATCATTGCAAAGTTACCAATACAAAATGCAAAGCTAAAATTATTTGTGGATGGTCTAAAAGTAACGGCATTGCCCCCCCCCCCCCGCTTAAAGTTAGTGCCCTTTGACTCAAATACCCTTTTAGGGTCTCATCTTCCAGTGCCCTTAGCTCAAGCTTCCCAAATCTAGCGGCCCTTAACTCTGGCGCACATTCCCGTTGTTCGGTTAACGCCTCTCTGCCACCCGCCTACAAGACTACAGCTACAAGCCAGGCCTATGGCTATGGTAACTTGTTTTTGAAGGTGTAACAAACATATCGTACAGGTCCACCGGGATGGACGACTGGCAGTGTCGAAATGGCCACTTACAAACAAGGAGCGGAGGCCCTGAAACAACAATGTCACCAGTCTCAGCTTATCTTTAAAACGACAATGGTCTTGGATCCGAGCTGACCTAATTCGGGGGTTCTTTTTTTTTTTTTTTTCTTCCTCGTCTAAATCTAAAGGCTCTTGGGGTGAAGGGGGGGGGGTGGAAGTACTGCGTTCAATACAATGTCATTACTTGAATGACAATGGTCTTGGATCCGAGCTGACCTAATTCGGGGGTTCTTTTTTTTTTTTTTTCTTCCTCGTCTAAATCTAAAGGCTCTTGGGGTGAAGGGGTGGGGGTGGAAGTACTGCGTTCAATACAATGTCATTACTTGAAGAAGAAAAACATGTTGTAAAATTACGCTACTGCCCATTGATAAAATGTAATATTGTACGTTTGAATGAATCAAGTTTCTATAAGATGAAATGCCAGGGAGCAATTTCAGGTTCGATAACCCTGAGCGCAGTGGCGTATCAATGATTGGTGCCGTCCGGTGCTTGCCAAGCAATTTTCCACCCTCACTTCCACGAAAGAAACTCTGCGGTTCTCCGAAAATGCCACTGTTCAAATACAAGGAAAAAGTGCCGCCCGGGGCAGACAACTCCCTCTGCACCCCTACCAATGCCACTGAAACGACAATATTTGCTCAGATATACATAATTCATACATAAAACTAGAATGATTTCATCCGTGCAGTTTGGATCTACCGGTACGCGCTATTCCCATTACTCAATTTACACCACTGAAGCATGTATTTTTGAAGGAAAAACGTGACAAATATTTAACTCAATGATATATTACCAATTTGTTTTTAAATTATTTGAGCTTGCAACTTAATAATACCACATATGGACTACTCGGTAAAGTAAGCCAGTTCTTTAAATATTTATATTTGTAGTGCTGTTAAAAAAAATACTATGAATATGAACACTGGATTGTATGAAAGCTTTGAGTACACTGAATTCTTATATATAAAGACAACGTCTCTGCCATTTTCGGATATTTAGTTTTGCTAGTTTCATTGCAGCGATTGTGCTAATTGTATGGGCTATTTTAAAATTATTATTTTCTTTTGTGTTTGTTCGATATCCGATTTCCAAGGCTAAAAATTTAGCTGTCAAGCACAATTAAATTTTCCACAGACTTTCAAACTGACCCATTTAAATTTTTTTTTTTTTTTTTAAAGATTAGATCTAAACTTTCCATACAAATTTACTAGTTAGAATCACGAACCTTAGATAAGGAAAATCTATAAATTCATTGTGCTGACCCCTTCTCTCTCTTGTCTCAGTTGAAACCCTCCCTGTTCGGATCAAAAGCTTCAATCCACGGGCTGCATGCATGACTAGCTAGAGTTTACCAAAAAAAAGTTGTTTGTTTTGTTTGAAAATAGTGCACGTCTTCAAAGGTCTGCAGGGACGTTTTCTGAAAGGATTACAAAATGCAGAACTCGCCTCTTACTCTCACGGTCTTAGGACTATCGTTGGCGTTCGGATACATATGTGGTGATTACGTCACAGTCGATTTAGGCCAAAGCCAAGAGCTGAGGGGATCCACGAAGACTTTACGAAATGGAGCAGTTCTCACAATCTTCAAAAATATACCCTTTGGGGCGTCAACGGCCGGTAAGTTGGCGTTTTCATTGTTTTGCTTAGGATAACAATGTTTTAAAAAGTGTATCTTGTTATTGCAGTACAAATATTTTTCACTTACTAAAACACATTGAATCTCAAGGCCCAAAGATGTCACTAAACGCAAATTCAATTTCCTTGACTGCAACATAGATATTTATATTATTTCAGCTCTTTCTCCAAGGGAGTGGGGAACATAATAATAATATTTGAAAATCACGCTTCATCCCCAAAGGCTCGGTACAAAGTCAACCACATTAAAAGAGAAAAATAAATCTATAATATACCACATTGAAATACAAAACGCAACAATTCAAAAACTGCATACGAGACTACCCATTTTAAGTCTTTCATCCCTTGCAAACATAAAAAAAAAACACAGGCCAATATACATCTAGGAGATAATAGCCAGCTGGAAAGATGGTAGACAGCATCACCCCAGCATGTGTTTGCGAAATAAATGTTTTTTTAAATTCAGTTTTGAAAGACTCCAGTGTATGGTTGTTTCTGAGAGCGACAGGAAGTGTGTTCTAAATTGTTGGGCCGGCAAATGCGAAAGTGCGCCTTCCATAAGTCTCAAGGCGAACACATGGAATCGAGAGTTTGCCACTATGGGATGAGCGGAGTTGTCTAGTGGGTACATAAGTCGTCAAGAGCGCTTTGAGATAGGACGGCACCAGGTCATGCAAGCAGCGGTAGCACAGAGTTGCAATTTTGTACTCTATGCGAGCGTGGACCAGCAGCCAATGCAAAGCTCTCACAAGTGTTTTAGCATGGTCAAATTTGCGTTTGCGAAGAACAATGCGAGCCGCATTATTCTGTGCTTTTTTAATTTTATCCAGGAGCGTAGCTGGAAGACCCACCATGAGAGCATTGAAGTAGTCCATGCGTGATAGCACGAATGCAGACATCAGTCTCTTTGTTGCATCAAACATAAGACATGGGTGGGGCGTGGGACGAACAAGTATGGGAACCACAGGTTTAAATTCTTGGCTTCTTAATAAGTAATCGTTGCACTTGAGGGGAGGTAATAAGAGAAATACGGGGGAAAACTGCGTTTAGATTTAAGAGAAGATAATATAGGTTTTTGTTAAATGACGGAATAGTGTTAAACAAAATCTTCCTTTATAAATACAGATAACTTCCCCACTATTTGTATGATAACATCATAAAAATAAGTCATAAAGCAGGGATGTAGCAAGAGATAAAGCAGGGATGTAGCACGAGATAATGCAGGGATGTAGCAAGAGATAAAGCAGGGATGTAGCAAGAGATAAAGCAGGGATGTAGCAAGAGATAAAGCAGGGATGTAGCAAGAGATAAAGCAGGGATGTAGCAAGAGATAAAGCAGGGATGTAGCAAGAGATAAAGCAGGGATGTAGCAAGAGATAAAGCAGGGATGTAGCAAGAGATAAAGCAGGGATGTAGCAAGAGATAAAGCAGGGATGTAGCAAGAGATAAAACAGGGATGTAGCAAGAGATAAAGCAGGGATGTAGCAAGAGATAAAGCAGGGATGTAGCAAGAGATAAAACAGGGATGTTGCAAGAGATAAAGCAGGGATGTAGCAAGAGATAAAGCAGGGATGTAGCAAGAGATAAAGCAGGGATGTAGCAAGAGATAAAACAGGGATGTAGCAAGAGATAAAGCAGGGATGTAGCCAGAGATTTGGATGCCCTGGACGGTCCTTCATTTTGCTGAAAGGGAAATCACAAAATTTATAATATATATATATATATATGTATATATATATAAATATGGCTTATAATTATATTATAGTATACGGTATGACATTTGAAATGAACTGCCCAAATGTCACCCTCCACCCTATTCCTACGCTGATATTTAAATAGCTAGGGGCAGGGGCAGATGAAAGGGGTGCGGTCCACCCCCGGGCGGCACTCTTTTCTTTATGTAAGGGGGGGGGGGTATTTGAGGCCAATTGCAGAGGTTTTTTATAATGGAAGGGGCGGCAAAAATGTGGCTACACCACAGGTTTGAGGTGTGTATTTTTGGGTGTCCATTTTTTTTCAATTTCGGCTCCAGAGGAAAACCTTTTTAAGCCTTGTTAATTAATGTGCAATATTGAACAACTGACTGGGTCCAGAATCAAGGGTATTTTATTATAAGGCTGGTTAAATTGCAAGATATTTACAGTAAAACTAAACGTTCTTTGATATCTACAGGATACAGCGTTATATTTTTTTAAAAAAATCTCTTTTTAACATCTGCATAAGACAGGCGATACTAAAAATCCCCTCTCTTTAACTAACATCTGCATGAGACAGACGATACTAAAATCCCCTCTTTTTAACAGCTGCGTGAGACAAGCGATGCTAAAATTTACTTCTCTTTGACATGTGTCGTAGACACGATAATATTAAAATTATTTTCTCTTTAACATCCTTGTGAGACAGGCGATACTAAAATGCTATTGTCTTTGCAATCTGCAGGAGACAAGCGCTTCGCAGCACCCGAAGAAGCCCCGGCATGGACAGGGGTCAGGGACGCCTTGGCCTTCGGAGCGAGATGCATGCAGCCGAGTGACCCCGTGGACCACGCGACCTTTGAATCAGAAGACTGCCTCAACCTGAACGTCTACAGCCCGGATGTTAACGGATCCCTTCCGGTCATGGTGTTCATCCACGGGGGAGGTTTCGACTCTGGCTCCGGGGCTTATTTCCTGTACGAAAGTTCGACCCTCGCCGCCAGGGGCGTAGTCGTGGTCACCATCAATTACAGATTGGGGGCTTTCGGCTTTCTGTCCACCGGCGACGATGTCATGGCAGGAAATTTTGGATTGTTGGACCAGGTCCTTGCCCTCAAGTGGGTGCAGAAGAACATCGCCGCGTTCGGCGGTGATCCTGATGAGGTCACCATTTTTGGTGAAAGCGCGGGAGCCGCCTGCGTGTCCCTGCACGTCCTCTCGCCCCTCTCTAAGGGTTTGTTCAAGAGAGCCATCATGGAAAGCGGGGCGGCTCTGAGTGCATGGGCCGTGGAGAGGCCAACAACTCTGGTAAAACTTGCCACGTACGCCAAAGAAATTGGATCGCGCGTTGGCTGCCCGCAGACGGACTCGACCGGCTTGCTCACTTGTTTGAGGGGGGTCGACGCGCGGGCGCTGGTGAATGCGAGTGATGTCGTCCAGGAGGATCTTGGGGTTTCCATTCTAGCCAACCCACGCGTTGAAACCAAATTCGGATTCCTTCCCGAGTACCCGGAAGTCATTTTAGAGAAGGGAAACTTCCAGAAGGTGGACACGCTAAGGGGCTACAACTCGGGCGAGTACTCGTTCGTTATCAAAGATAAAGACAACGACGGCATCACGAGAGATGAGTTCATCGAGTTCTTCATGCAGATCTCTGAAAACTACGCCTTCGAAAACAGAAGCGTCGACGCACTCCGTTCCCTGGTCGAGGCCGAGTACCTCAAGCAAGAAACGAGTCCACTGGTTCTCAGAGAGTCCCTCATTCGCGGGCTGACGGACTTGCTTTTCGCGGCCTCCGAAGTGCTCGAGCTGGACAAGCTGATCGCGAAGGGAGACCCGACCTCGAAGCACTACTTGTACCAGCTGAACTACATCGTCGAATCGCTGCTCAACGTGCAGAGCTTCCTGCCGCACTGGATGGGGGCCCCTCACACCGGGGAGCTCCCGTTGGTGTTCGTCGATGACTCCGCCTTCGCCGCTCTGCTGTCCACGCAGGCGCAGAAGGACGTGGGCAATCTGGTGCAGACGCTGTGGACCAACTTCGCCAAGTACGGCGAGCCCACCAGGAACGTGACCGGCATCGACTGGAGGCCGTACTCCAGCGTTCAGCGCAACATGCTCACCATCGACGTGGCTTCCAAGGTCAGCTCGTACCCGAGCCCGCAGGTGATTCCTCTGTATGAAAACATTTTGAGAGTCCTCTAGGGATTTTAAGTGTGAACCCTGAGGTTCTAGGCTAGTTCAAAGGAGTCCCCCTGATGGTCTTGTTTTCAACAGCATATGAGAGCTCTTGATTTATCATTTTCATTTGGGAGTGGATTGCTCATTATTGAGTGGAATGTAATGACAAAATAAATGATTTAATACACTAACTATGATTAGCTTTTTTTTTTCTTCTTTTGACATCACAAAATTTCAAGGGTGTCATAGCAACCATTGGATAAGTGACATAGCAACCCATGGATAAGTGGCATTCTCTGTTAAACAGAATCAAGTATGCTTTAAGAAAACATAAGAGACGTTATGGAAACAATTGATACTTAAAGGTCCTAACATGTGGTCAGTAAAATTGTCGATAGAATTATTTAAATGGATGGAAAAATGTCCGAGAAATGACGTTAACAAGGCAGAGCAAAAAAACAACAAAAAACAAAACAAAAAAAAACAAAAAAAAACAAACAAACAAACAACAACCTAAAACACACCCCAGAAAATAATGTTCAAATCCTGATGTTTTTTTTTTTTTTTAAAATGAAATTTTAATTAACAATAAATAGAAAATAATGTTTTGTTATTTATTTTTTTTTTTTTTTTTAAATTGACATTTTAATTAACAATAAATACAATATATTAATATTAATGCAAAAAAAAATATATATAGCTTTAGCAATGTACTGATTTACTGTATCATTTCAAAGCATCTCACACAAATATATTTTATATATTTCAAGCTTGACATTATAACCACAGCATTATCTTAGCGCAACATCACATGGTGCCAACGTGTGTCTAATTAAAATAAGAAATAGATATTCAACCAGCGCAGTGAGAAGGAAAAAAAAAAACTGCGCCAGGGGCAAAGCCTGAAAATGGCGCCCCCTTTAATAAATGATATGCGATACACGCACACGTGTATCAATACATTTTTTGGTGCTCCCCCTGGTGTGATGTTGGCGCCAAGGGCGGCTTCGACCTTCGCAGAGCCCTGCATTCAACACTGAGTGGCGGATTAGAGCCTTCTCTGAAAGTTTGCTATCAATATATTTATACAATTTCTACCGGCACACAGAAATAAAACTTCTCTTGTCTACTGTACTATTCCATAAGGGGTCATTAATATATTACGTACACATAAAGGCACATACTACACCCTTCTTCACCATGTTGTACCCGTACTGTGTTGGCCACCCACGTATGCGAACATACGACGATCAACGGTCAAGCAAACCGTAAACCAATGTTTCCTAACCTGTTGTGTACGCCCCCGAGGGAGCCAATGTGAAGATTATAGGAGGACTTATAATCTCTGGAAAAGCGACGTAGGAAGGGACGGTGGAGGAGGCGGTCTGCCCTGAACTTTTTTTCGTTCATTTTATGGAGGCGCCCCATTTTCTGACAAGTGCAGAATTTATTTCATAGGGCCGAGCCGGGCTTTAGGGTGTGCGACCTGTGCCCTCGCACAGGGCGCCGTGGCCAAAGGGGCGCTTGGGGGGGACCCATTAAATATTTAAATTCCCTTAGTTTATTTATAGTGAAGTGTGACCCTCGGGCCCGGGGTCGAGAAACGGTATTCTAACTTTTCGTACAATAGCTATTCATACAATGAGTTTTTATACAATGAAAGTTGCATTCTTAATTTGGACACTAGCACTGGGTTGGGACCAACCAAAAGGGCGTGTACATTAATTTATTAATACCGTATTTCCTTGTCCCTCTTACAATTATCTCAGCAGAAAAAATGTGGGGAACGAAAAGCTTTCCGGGGCGCAAAATCGCAAGCGCAAAGCAGAAAAAGTACGTCGTAATCGGAAAAAGAGTGGAGCCATACAGGTACAAGGAAGGGGGCGCCGTACGGGTGCTTCGCACAGGGCGAAAGTTTACCTAAGGCTTAACTTTGGCGCCCCTTATAAGTATAATCATTGAAGGAAAAAAACGAGTTATTCCGAAATGAGTTTATTACCTATGTTGTTTTTTTAAAAACAAACAATGGAACAGTTCATTGTTTGTTAAAAACAAAAAACGGCAGGGAAAATGTGACCTTATCTACGCCACTGCTCTGGGATATAGGAGACGTATTTAAGCTTTAAATGGTGGGGGGGGGGGGTATATGCATTTCGGTTAACCATCTTTTTTTTTGCCTTAAATTCAGAAGAACTACCGTAAAAAATATTTTCTTGGGTTTCCCCCCCCCCCCCCCCCC